ATGTCTATCTGTGTTTCATTGATTATGTATGCAAAGGCATTTGACTGTGTGGATCATAACAAACTGTGGCTGACTCAGAAGAATGGGAATCCCAGAACATTTAATTGTGCTAATACGAAACCTATACTTGGACCAAGAGGCAGTAGTCAGAACAGAGCAAGGTAACAAGCATGATGTTAGGAAAGGTTATTCCTGGGAAAGGATCATAATGCTTAGAAAGGTGGAGGGACAGCGAAAGAAGATTTCTCTTCCAAATGGATTGACACAGTGACTGCTTCAGTGGGCTCTAGTGTGTCAGAAATTATGAAGATGGCACGGGATAGGACAGGGTTCAGATCTGTTGTTCATAGGGTTGCTATGAGCCATACTTGATTCAAAGGTACCTAACAACAACCAGGTATTTATGTCTTAGTATAGTCCTGGCCACTGAAGAAGACTGATTCTTTTTGATCAAGAGAATGCGATCATCCCACCAGAATGAGTATGTGTGACTCCTAAGGCTAGATCTTAAAATATTTCTCCATTGATTTTTTAAATTTCGAGTTCTGGAGGTACTCAGCTATCTTTCTGAAGTAGTGCTGTGGAAAAGTCTTCATGGAGAGAAGCTGAGACTTTCAACCCCATCGTGTGAATAATACACCTTAGAAGCTGATCCTTCAGGCCCACTCAAACTGACAAATGTTGGGTCCCCAGCAAATATTTGACACAATCTCATGATAGCTCTTGAACTAGAATGACCAGACAGGCTACACCCTCACAAAACACAGAAAAGATAGATGATAGATAGATAGATAGATAGATAGATAGATAGATAGATAGATAGATATTGATATTTAGAGAGAGGACTTTAACTATTAAATTTGTTCTTTGGCAATATATAATTAATACATTCAAATAATAACACATGTTAGTGCTGAGTGAAGAGAAATACCAACCTAGAATTGTATATTTAGAAAGCATATTCCTCAAGAACAAAGGCAAAATAAAACCAATCCAAGATAAACAGAAATGAAGGAAATTTAACACCAAAAGTCTGCTCTCAAGGAATTCCTAAAATATGTACTTCAAGATGAAAATTAATCCCAGAGGGACAGTCTGCTGTGTGAGGAGAAATAGTGAGCAAATAGAATTCTAAATATAAGTAAAGATATAAAAAAATTATTTACATGAAATAATAAAATAGCATCTAATTTTGCAATTAAAGACAGACCAAAATATTACGTAAAATTGTGTTAGAAGAGGATGATTAGAGTTAAAATGTTCTAAAGTTCTTTTCTTGCCTTCCGAAAAAAACACTCCCTATAGTCAAGTTGATTCTGACTTCATCTGTTCCGACTCACAGAAGTCGTCCATCCTGTTTCCAAAGTTGTCAGTCATAATGGGAGGAGACTGTCCACCTTTCCAAGTTTATTGCCTTTAAAGTCAACGTCATTGCTCTGGAGTGAAAATCAACTCTTAGCCGACACTGCCGTAGGTTTTCAGAGGCTGTAAATCACATTGGAGGAGATGTCCCATCATTTTCCCATGGAGCAGGGTGATTCAAACCAAATGCTTTTGGGTTAGCAGTACAGCTCCTTACCCACAAGACCACCAGAGCTCCTTCAGAAGTGTAAATATTGTTCAAGTCTTTGTTAATTGAAAAATGAGGCAACATTAGAAGATAGAAACAGCATATGTAAATCTCAAGCTAGTATATATGCAGAAAAATCAATAAGTGGGGAGAGAATATTAAAATGAAAAATATATTTACATGACAAGAAAGAGGTAGGAAATTTATAAAAAAGGTATAGATATATAATGATAGCAGCAAATCTATCTATAAAAATAATCACAGTCCTTGCAAATGGATCATATTTACCATCTAAAGAGATGACTAATTGTTTTGGATGTGGTGTTGTGTGTTTTGTTTTGTTTTTTCCTTAAGCCCACACACTCCAGTTACTTATATACTGTTTCCAAGAAGGATATTTAAAATAATAGGGCAAAGATGAGTTTAAAGCAAAATCATGAGGAAAGAGGGGTGTGGTTTTAGTAGCCACTGAGTGAATTCCGATTAGATCTGCTTCATAGGGTTTTTCGAGGTTATGGTCCACACCATAGTTCTGAGACATCTCTGAGTGGGTTTGAACCACCAACACTTTTAGTCCTGTGCTTAACCGTTTGCCCACCTATAGACTAAGGAGCCCTCATGGTATAGTGGTGTTATATGAAAGGTCAGCAGCTTAGCAGGAGAAAGATGGGCATTCTCCTCCTGGAAAAATGTTGACCTCAGAAACTGGTGGAAGTAGCAATCAACTCATCTGCATTGTTGTTTTTTAAATTTTATTTGGGAATAGACATGGCTAAGGGAAATATTAACATGGACAAATATTATTCAAAAGGCAACTGGCATAGTTTTATGGATATCAGACCAAAGACAATTTAAGATACACCACTAGAAAATCTTTGGTTACTGTTATTGTTGTTAGGTGCCATCAAGTCAACTATGACTCATAGCAACCCTATGAACAACAGATTTGAACCTTGTCCCTCCTGCACCGTCCTCGAAATCTCTGTCATGCTCAAGACCATTGTAGTCTCTGCGTCAGTCCATCTCATGGAGGGTTTCCCTCTCTTTTGCTGACCCTGTACCTCTCATAGAATGATGTCTGTCTCCAAGGACTGGTTCCTTCTCAAAATATGCCAAAAGTAAGTGAAACAAACTTTCACCACCCTTGCCTGTAAGCATTCTGATTGCATTTCCTTAAAGACAGATTTGTTTGCTTGGTTTGTTTTTATATTGATTTGCTCATAAAGTTCATTTACATTGTGTTTCACTCTATTCTTTGATCTTATCATGTTTTATACAGTCATTCACATGAATTGTGTTTTAGAAAGTCAATCACCATTGTTTGTCCTTTTGGCAGCTCATAGGATACTCTTCACCAACACCACAATTCAAAGGCACTGATTCTTTGGTTTTCCTTTTTTTTTTTTTTTTGTCTCTACATTGAGCAGTGGTGTCACTCTGTAGACTAAGGTGTGTCTGATACAGGCTATGGTCTTTTCAATCCAGAGAGATGGACAATGACTAGGGAGGACAGAAGGAGAATTGATGCCATTGAGCTGTGGTGCTGGAGAAGAGTATTGCGTGTACCATGGACTGTCAAGAAAACAAACAGATTCATCCTGAAGTGGATTAAACCAAGCTACTCCTTGGAGGCAAGGATTCTGGGGCTTCGTCTGACACACTTTGGACATGTTGTAAGGAGGGACAGGTCCTTGGAGAGGGACATCATGCTTGGGAGGGTGGAGGGACAGCGCAGGAGGGGAAGACCCTCTATAAGGTTGGTTGATTGATTCAGTGACTGTGGTAATCGGGGCAGGTGGGTTGGAGACAGTGAGATTGACACAGGACAGAGCAGGTTTTAGGGCTGTTGTACATAGGGTCGCTATGAGTCGCAGGCGACTTGACGGCACATAACACTGAGATAGAGCCAGCCGCAGCATGGCTTGGGTCGGGCACTAGGGGGCGCTGTGTGAGTCGGCGAGGTCTGGGGAGCAGGGCTTTGAGAAGCGTCCCGTTAAGGTGGCAATAGTCCTCCCCCTGGCCTTCCTCCCCATGGAAGGGAAGCACGGGAGACCGGCGGGACTTCCTGGTTTCCGGCTAACTGGGGCAAGTCCCCTGCTTGTGCTCCTGCTGCTGACTACAGGTGAGGCCCCTTCCCAGAGCTATGGCTTCTCCAGCTGCCGCCCACCGCGCCACGCAGCCTAAAAGCCGCACAGGCGCAGCGCCATGAGCATCCTGGAGACTTAGTGGGGGCTGGTAAGCACTCAGCCTCCGACTTCTCCCCCAGCTATAGCAATGAAAGCTGGAGTCCTAGAGAGGTAAGGGGTTTTTCCTCCCACGTTTTCCTCCCTATCCACCCTTTAGCCCTCCCCCAGTTAACTCTTTTTTATATCTTCCCCTTTTTCGTTGTTGCACATTTTCTGCTTTCCCTCCCTTCCCACCCACCCAGCAGTACACCCCTTGTTCCGGATTGTTGTCATACGTGTAATGCCTGATCATAATATAGTCCTTGCAGTTCTAACCCCTCATCCGTTCACTCTTCCCATTCCGCCCACCCTACCCGTGGCTGTCCTAGGAGTGGCATCCACTTCCTAAATAACGTGCCTCCAGAAACTCTATGAACTTTGATAAAGGTCAATAATTGTAGAGGGGCTTCATGCCTTTTGTTCATAGGGTCGCTAGGAATCGTGCTGGACTAGAAGACAATTAACAACAACAAATAACAACAGTGTTATGCAGCATTTGTCCTTTTAGACTGAGATATTTCACTCATCATAATGTTCTCCGGCCTCTCCCATAGTGTATAATGCTTTATGAGTTTGTTTTTCTTTTTCTTTTATTTTAGTTTGTTGTTTTTCAATCCTGCATAATATTAGATTGTGTGAACGTACCATAGTTTTTTCCCTATCTATTCTCCTACCCCCGCAATCATTAAATTGTCCAACATCTAATTTAGGCCCTCAGGGACTACCTCAAAATTATGCTCCCATCACCCCCAATTTGAGGTATGAATAGAGGATAGCTGTGTCTCCTCAGTGAGCTCCCTCAGTGAGGCACCTTTCATATTTGTGGCTCCCCAGAATATTGTTCAGCACCTACTCTGACAAGCAACCCCCTTGTGCTTGAGCCAGGGGGCAAGTGCCCTCCGATGCCCTCATACCCACACTGCTGGGAAGGAATGAGTTCTACAGGCAGTTGCTCCCAGCTCTCTGAGGAAACTGGAGAGACAAAGTGGAGGACCTGGTGGACTACTAACTGAAAGGTTGGTGGTTCAAATCCACTCAGGGGTGCCTCAGAAAATAAGCCCTGGTGATCTGCTTCCCAAAAGATAATCCATCTGAAAACCTTGAAGAATAATACTATTCAAACAAGTACGGAGTCTCCATGAGCCAGAATCAACTGACAGCAACATCAATAGTAACATTAAATGGGAATAGGGGGAAAGAGAGAGTTACAGGGATGGCCCTGGAATTAAGGGTGCAGAATTCTGGAGACAAAAGTTTATGAGAGCTGTGTTCTTTTCCCTGCCCCCAGCTGACAGCTGTGACACAGAGACACAAGGCAAGGTCTTGGGGGGCCAGGATGCACCCCCAGGCAGGTGGCCCTGGCAGGTCAGCCTGCAGTACAATGGCCGCCATACCTGCGGGGGGACCATCCTCAACCATCACTGGGTGCTCACCGCTGCCCACTGCTTCCCCAGGTGAGTCACCAGAACCAGAACAGCTGCCTGGGTGCTGGCCACAGGCTCAAAGGCTAGGGTCTTCGGTCAGTGCACTGGCCTCGCAGCTTTCCCCGTGGCAGACAAGGCACTGTGTGTGGGAATAGGGCAAGAGTGATCAGTACAGAGAAAGAGATGAAGTAATGAATATGAAAGCAGGGGGCCACTACATGACCTAACTCCAACAAAATGATTTTTTAGTTAATCTTTTCAAAAGTGACTGAAGATAGAGTAACTTAACATCCAAGCGTCCAAGTTGGGTGTAAAGGATAGACTAGGGTCAGGGCAGAGTTGAGCAAGAGATGTGAAGTCTACTGTCCCTGCACCTATGTAGCTCTGGGGGCTGGGACAAGTCCCTCATCTGCTCACATCAGTTCGCTCACTTTTGAAAAGAATGGTTGGTGTCTCAGAGTACAGATGTGTGGGAAAGATTAGGATTAACTAACTGCTTATGGGGTGCTTCAGGAAGGAAGGCACATTTTATACCATATGCCCCTCCTCACATGCCCTGTCCCACAGCCCTGCCCAGCCCCACATGTCCCTCTTCACATGCCCTGTCCCACAGCCCACATGTCCTGCCAAACCAGGATGGCCCCTGGTTCGAGCTGACTAGGCCTCGGTAAGTGATACAGTAGACTAAGATTGAGACACTTCTCCAGGCTGGGACCACTGGGGAGATCTGGGTATGGGTTCAGGCTGGACAGTCTGCAGGACTCAGATCCCAAAGTGGGGTCAATAGCAGGTATCTTGAGATCTCTCTAGCTCTGGAGCCCTCAGCAGCAGTACATGATAGTAAAATGAGACCACCCACAGATTCATCAATCTCAAAGATCTGAGGATCATCGTGGGACTCACCGACCTCAGAAAGAGAAGCCGGCAAAGCCAGAAGATAAGGCCAAAGCAGCTTCTCCCGCACCCAACTTACACACGCAGGCAGGCGCTCACCGGTAGTGACATTGCACTCCTGCAGCTGAGGACCCCTTTGCGGTTCTCCACCTTGGTGAGCCCAGTTAGCCTCCCACCCCCTGCCTTCCAAATGCAGCTGCATTCGGAGTGCTGGGTCACAGGCTGGGGCCAAGTACACTACAAAGGTAAGGGCAGCAGTAAGCGGCTTAGCTGTCCCATGAGGACATCCAGGTGTCTCATTTATTAGACCCAGTTGGCAGTATTGAGAAGAATATGTGAAACTTGGAGCTAAGAAAGAGATGTGGCTCCAGGCTGACATCTTGTACCATCCCTCAGGACACATGAGTCTGACCCAGGAGACTGGACACCCTGTGTATGCCCTGGGTGGGTTGAGGCAAAGCACAGGCCTCAGGGCAGTGAGCACGAGGAGTGGAGTTAGCAGTGCTGGCTGGGAGACATTGTGGTTAGCCTGGGTGAGACTCCTTTCCCAAGCTCATTCAGCCCTGCAGTCTGGGGTAAGGTTTCCTCTGGAACCCTATGTCCCGAACCTGGGAAGAATTTCTGAATTTCCCTTTATCCCCATCTCAGCTTTGCCAGACCCTCCAAGCTCAGGAAGTTAAATTTTAAATCTCTCCCAGTGGGTGGCAGAGTTATGGAGGGGTGCCCAGGGCAAAGACAAGGTCATTGAAGAAGAACCCAGCCTTGTCACACACTGCCAGGCCCTGGGCATCAGCTAGCACACACCTGGTGAGATGCAGACATGGGGGTATCGCGCACTGGATGGTGTCCGGCAGTGGAAGGTGGTCTCTCTTGTCATTGAGGGTATAAGGAACCAGGAAGCTGTAGTGCAGAGGATCAGCGGAGCAGGAGGCAGAGCTGAGGAGTCCACTGAGTTGATGGATGGACAGTGATGAGCCCTGAGCAAGGCCAAGCAGGGCCTGGGGGAGAGCACAGGTGGAAGCTTCAGAGTAGGCCAGCAAGATGACAGAGATGAGCACAAAAGAGGGGGCAGCTCAGAACATCCTTCAGTTCCAGGGGCCACTGAGGTTGGATGAGTTGTTGAGGCCTGAAACATTTCCACAGCCACCCCGCACGTGCGTCTCCTAGCCTACAACAGAGTAGCACAGCTGGGCCTATGCCTTCCGCTGTCACCCTGTCTGTCCCTCTCTGGTCTGCTTGCCTCCTCATCCTCCACAAGTGACCCTGGTCTCGTGGGAAGAGTGGGCATAGCCCATCTTTGGGAGGCAGCTGAAGGAGGTGTAAGGGACTAGAACACATTAGGAAGAATGGACTGGTGACCCCTCAGCCTGGCTCTGCTCACCCCACTCTGATCCTGAAGTCTACCCTCATATTCTACAGCTCAAGAGAAACGGTGTTCTGAAATTGGGGTCTCCAGTATCTTAATGTTGGCTAGCACCACACTCCCAGATCTGAGGGGGTGGCCCTGAATTGGTGCAGACATCACCATCCATGTGACTGTCACCATCCACGTGACTGTCCACAGAGGGCCGCATGCAGCAGGGTTGAGGAGTTGTGAGGTTGTGGGGAACCACAACCTTGTCCTCTCTCCATGTTCTCATCAGTCCTTCCTCTAAGGCAGTCATGTCTGTGGTAAGAAGAGCCAAGTGTGTCCCGTGTTGTCACTGTTGTGGGCATGGCCTTGAGATGATCAGTGTCTCCTTATATCCGTGACTGTTTCCTCCCCTATAAAAAGATGCAGCCTAGAACTCCCAGAGACAGCTCCACCTGGGGACCCTTATGCACACTCACCCACTTCCAGTCAGATCCCTTGGGAGTGGAGTCCTGAGGGGCCCACTTCCACAAGCCCCTCTCCACAGAGACATCAGTGAATACCCTCCGGGAGGCCCCAGTGTTCATTGTCAACAACACCTGCTGTGAGCCGTATCTGGACCTCCCCCAGCCCGCCCTCAGCAAGATGCTGTGTGCAGCCAGCCTCAGGAACAGCGCCATGGCCTGCCTGGTGAGAGCCCACAGCCAGGGACCTGTGAGGTCCTCAGAGCAGGCTGAAGGGAACATCAGCCATCGCCCCTAAGAAGCCCTAGTCTCTCCCTCCAGTTGCACTCTGAGTCCTTCCAACTAGCACAGTCTTAACAAACATCCCCAGAGACGTGGACTCACAGCCCATCTGAGTGACCCGACTTCATGGAGCATCATCAGGGCTGAGTCCATCTACCTCCATCTTCAGGAAGTGTGAGGGCTGGAGGGAAGGGGCGTGGGAGTAGGAGAGCTATCAGCGTCAGTGGACAAGGAGCTTTCTCTCCTCTGGACTAGTGGGGAATATAGATGGCCAAAGATCTTCAGACAGGAGATTCCGTGGTGTTATCCTTGGGCTGAGGTTCCACAGACTCCTTCTTCTCCCAGGGCGACTCTGGAGGACCTCTGGTCTGTGATGTGAACGGCACCTGGCTGCAGATTGGGGTGGTGAGCTGTGGCAGGGTGTGTCTGCCCACTGTCGTCCCCAACCTGTACACTTGTGTCTCCCGCTTCTCTTCCTGGATCACGGAGAACATCAGGGCTGGCCAGGATGCTGGGGCGTGGACCTCACCCCTGACACTGCTGCTGCCGCTTCTGTCCCTCCCCAGCACCCAGTGACATGCACTGGCCTTTCATCCCACTCACCCACACCCACCCAGCACAGCTCTCCCTGTTCCAGAACACTTCCTGCTGACCCTGTCCTTGATTCCTGCTGAGGGGCTGCTCTCCTCCTCAGGACGGGGGGTACCAGGCAGGAAGAGAAGATGTGGCCGATGGGTGGAAGAACAGACTTGGACCTAGCTGAGAATGATACAAATACATAAAGCAGCAGGCCTTGTTCATGCTTGCCAAGCCAACAGTCCTGACAGCTTCCTGTGTGTGAGGAAAGATGCCTCTGCGATGATTAGACTCTCAGGGGCCCTGGAGTTGGGGACTGCCCACAGAAAAAGGGTCAGGGTGGCCTCCAGGAGGATCAGCTAAGATTCCAGGAAAGGTGCTAACAAAGAGGTAGCAGTGCCCACAGCGCCCCCACCCCCACCCCACCGCCCCTGTCAGCTGCCTGGGCCTCACTCCCTGTCCCATTCTCATCCTCCTGAGACAGATACTTTGATTCCTGGCTGCGCTCAAAAGACCCTCATGAAGAGAGTACCAGATCCAGTGTTTGCCTAATGCTATCGTAAGGGGACCCACATCTCCCTTTGCGTCAGCTGGCAAGTCCCCAGTCCCAACCCACCTCCTGCCTTTGTTCCCAAGGGCTCCTTGTTGATTTTTTTTTGTTGTGTACCGTTGAGTCAGAGCCAACCCATCCTCTGGCGGGTTTTCAGAAGCAGTTAATCATATGGGAGGAGATTGCCCGTCCTGGGGCAAGATGGACAAGGACTGGGCAGGTTAGCTGTTTGCATTTTAACAGAACGGAATCCCCTGCCCAAAGGGAGGCCTGCTGGAATAGTGGAGCTCGGGAGGTTGCTTCCCTGAAATCCACTCAGGGCAGGCTGCACACACAGCTCAGTCACTTTGGGGGAGTAGCACAGGCGTTCCACTTGGGGATACCCCAAGGCAGTGAAATGACTGGGGAGGTCAGTAGGGACAACGGCTCCTAGGATGGTAGCAGATCAATGGCAGCTACCTGGCTCCCAATCTTGACTGCCCTGATCACCACTCCAGCCCCTCAGCAAGCTTCCCTCCACCTCCCCCTTCAGGCCCAGCGCCCACCACCACAGAAGAAGGAAAAATGAGGCTCAGTGGGGAAAGTGCTGCACAGCGTGTCGCAGGGAGATAGGGACTGAGTCAGGCCTCCCAGCCCTGCCCACCCACGTCGCTTTCTTAGGGACCCTCTGGCATTCCCTAGGCTTCCTCTTACCATAGAACTCTGGACACCCCTCTTCTCTCCAGTGGCAAAGGTTTGATAAAGTCCCCCTCAAGCCTCAGAGCTGCAGCCTCGAGTGCTGCCCAAGGCCACAGCCCCTGCACCACCACGCAGCTGCCTCACCCCTACCTCCCCACACGCCCCAAGCCCCTGGTGTCTGTTCCCCACCGTAGCTTAATGAGCAAAACAGACCCGCCCGATAAAACATGGGCCTTGGACACGGCGGGCCGGGACATGCCCAAGGCGGGGATCACATTCTGTTCTTTTCCAAGCAGGGCCATTCATCTTCAGAGGAGGGCGGCTGGGTGTCCAGGGTCCCCAGTGAGTCAGCAGAAGTGGCCGGCAGCCCCAAGCAGGCCAGACAAGCAGAAGCTGAGATAAGGTCAGGACCGGAGCACGGGAAGGGAGGACAGTGCTGGACAGTGACCTTTAGCAGGCTGCCTAGGGACCACCTCCAAGGGCTCCACTGGGCTGGGGTGGGAGGAGGGATGGGCGTGGAGGAAAGGGGCAAGATGGGGTTTGGCCCAGGAAGGACCCTGGGTAATCAAGACCCAGAAAGGGGGTTGATGTCCTGTACCCCCAGTTCCCTCTGCCTGGCCTGAGCTGAGAGAGAAGTTGGAAATAGATCTTGGGGGATGGGGGTGGGATGCCTATTCTTACATTTCACCATCCCCCCCAACCTGGCAAAAATTCAGATGGATATACATACAGGTTTTTAAAAGCAGCCAAGAGGGAGATCTGTATGGAATTACAGTGTCTCCCCCTCTCAGCTCCTCTGGCCCGCCCTCTGTCTCTGGGGTGCTCTCCAGGAACCTGTGCTCACGGAGCCTCACTGGGGCAGCCGGGATAGCAAGTTTATTTCCCATGTGTCTGCTCTCTGGCCAAAGTCATGGAGACCTCCAGAAGGGGGCTGGCCACCAAGCATGTTTGGGCAGGACGAGAGTTTCCTAGGGTGGAAGAGATCTGAAGGAGAAGGAAGGCTCAGTGGGTCTTGGACCTGAGAGCGCCCACCCCACGCCCTAGTGAGGGGAAGCCGGGTCTGCCTCTGGGAACTCCTGCCTGCCTAGCTCTCCTCCTCTGTAGCCAGGCAGCCTCTCAGCCCCTAAGTGGGGCTCTTGGTTCTTTACGAGCCTCCCACCCCATAAAAGCAGTCACCGCTGCGTGCCGTCCAGAACCTCTGGAAACAGCTGGCCTCAGCCTTACAGGCCCTGCCCAGGAACCAGGGAGGTCGGCCGGGACAGAGAAGGACCGCTTCCGACCTGTGGAGGCTCTCGTGCCTGATCACTGTGGCCTTGCTCTGGCCGCTGGATGCAGCAGGCACAGCTGCAGAGAGTGCGCCCCAGGCTGAGGGGAGGCAGCCCTGCTGCCCGCCCATAACCTCCCTGAGCGACCTCCTCCCCAGGCCCAGGGCCTTCCTGGAGCAGGAACTAGAGCCAGGCTTCCTCCCAGGAATGCAGCTCGAGTGGGCGCCCCAACATCCAGTGGGATCAGGCGGGGGTTGACAAAAATGCCTCTGATTAATAAAAAGTTTGATGGAAATTTCATATGTTGACTCGGATCCTAAACATTTTCCAGGAACATCTGGTGGTGGTTGGAGCCGCCTGTTTATGTTCACAATGAGAACATTTTTTCCAACGCAGTCTGTCCCCAACTATTGTCTCCTTTCTAAAGGGTTGAGACACAGTCCCCAGGTCTGGGGCTGACTCCAGTTGGCCCCTCCAGGGTGACAAGCCCACACTGTGATGGGAAACTTCCCTGTGGCCCGGAGACAGGGCTAGGAGCTGGAAGGGCCCCCAGGAGGAGTCTCATCCAGCTTGGCCACCCCTGATGGGGGGCCCGAGGCACATCTGCCCCCCAGGGAGAGGCACAGAGCCAGATTCTGTCCTCATTCCCAGACTCCCCTCTGCCTCCTGCCTCTCAAAGATCCCAAACACCACCCTGGATGAGGGTGGAGATTGGTGGTCTCTTGGACTCATTTTGCCCGCAGGTGCATAGACCTAAAAGGATAGGGAATGGACCAGAAACAGAAGGGCTTCTCAGCATCCCAATCCCATATCCATAACTTAATCCCTGCAGCCCAAGTCCCGCCTCCCTCACCCCGAACCCGAGGCTGCAGGAGTCAATTCTAGATAGCCCAGTAAAGCCTTGGTATCATGCCTGAAGACCACATAACCCAGCCAAAGAGCTTGCCTGGGACATAGCAAAAAGAGTAACATTCAGTGCTCAGGGCTCATTTGCACAGTGGGCAGGATCTCTGATGACCCCAGCTCTACTACCACACAACCCCGGGAAGCATGCAGTGCTCATGAAAGGCCTCATTCCCGTGCCAAGAACTGCCCTGGAGGGCTGGACATGCGGTCTGACCCCTGTGAAAGGGAGGTGTGTGCAGGATTCTAGACTCGGTCCTTGGGTTAGATTGACCTTTGAGGGCAACCCCATTTCTGAGCAGCTACCTCTTCCTGGGGGGACAAGAGGACCTATACCTGGGTCTCTGTTACTTCTGGGTGTCAGGACATCTCTGAACAGCTGCTGTGCCTGGGACACCTCAAGGCATGGGCCAGCAGGAGGCCTCAGGGCCTCAGGACAGCCCAGACAGCTTTGGCTGGTGCCAGCTGGGGCACAGCCCTGCCCCGTGGCTACAGCAGGCCAGCATGTGTGGTCCTTGTGGGAGTCACTCATTTATTTTTCTTTCTTTTCCCCACCTCTTCCTTTTTAATAAAATGCATTGGAGCGGAAGGCAGACACCACCTTCGATGTCCTTGTAAAATTCAGTGTGCTCCTGGGAGGAGGGACTAGGGAGTGTTACTCCCCCAAAGGGAAGAGGAGGAGGGAGGGGATGTCCAGCAAAAGGTATCTGGAAAGTGGATGTCTTGGAGGGCTGAGTTCCCCAAGAAGCTTAATGCACAGATCACAGAGAGACCATCTCAGCCTCAATGCCAGCAGCAGTTAGAGCTCACTTTCACCCATGCATCTCATCAGGGTGAAACTGGGAGCAATGCACCTAAGAACTTCCAGGACAGAGAGTGGGGACGTCTCCCAGGGAACCATGCAATCTCATGGACAAGAGTCCGAACCGGAAGAGGCACAGATAGTGCCATGGTGCTCTAGGCAGGTCTCCAGGGCCAACTGGGAGGATGGGACACAAGTCTCCCTCTGTGAGGGTGAAGGTGACCTGGGGACACCCATGTGTGAAGGGAAGAAGACCCTTTCTGTGTCTCAGATCTCTGGAGGCAGGAGTCGAGGCAGAGGGGAACTTAGGGCTGGGGGGAGCGCTGCCTCCCCAGACGGAGGAGCCGTTCCTGTCATCTCAATGTAGTCCTCCGTGCCGCTGCCCAAACATTTGCTCTGAATTACAGCCCAATGTGTTTCATAATGTTTTATGCTTTTCCCGCAGAGTTAATCTCTGTGCCCCCTCCATCCTGACCAACAGGCAACTTCGCCAGTCCTGTACAAGCAACCCTACCCTGCCCTATCCGCCAAGACTGGGCTTCCCCAGTGATCCACCACCCCCACCAAGCCATGGTGGTGCTAGGGTGAGCCACAGGCCTTCACAAGCACCCTCACCTCTGTCTACAGCCCCAAGGTCCATGGCCCATGGTCTTAGTTGCCTACAGCTTGGGAATCCAGCTTGGTTGACAATAAATAACTAGCTATCCACAGTCTGATGTCCATGCCCTGGGAGCCTGTAGCTTCACTGCCTGCAGCCTCATTATCCACAGCCTGGGTGTCAATAGCCTGATGGCCCAGGGAA